TGGATAGAAGCTGAACCTCTAGCAACGTTCACAACCCGAAACATACAGAACTTCTTTTGGAAGAACATAGTATGTCGCTTCGGGCTACCTCGGGTACTAATCTCCGACAATGGCAAATAGTTCGAGGATATCAAGTTTCAAGAATGGTGCCAAAGTATGGGAATTAATCAGAACTTCACGTCGGTCGCACACCCCGCAGGCAAATGGCCAAACAGAAGTAATGATCAGAGCCATCCTCCGTGGACTGAAAGCACGACTAGACCGAGCTAAAGGGTTGTGGGCGGTCGAGCTACCAAGTGTTCTATGGGCTCATCGAACCACGGAAAAAACCGCCATAGGAGAGACCTCCTTTAACCTCACCTACGACACTGAGGCGGTAATCCCGGCGGAAATCGAAGTACCTACGCTGCGACTAGAAGCATACGAAGAGCAAACAAACGAAGATGAGTTACGCACCAACCTCGACCTACTAGATGAGGTGAGAGACCTCGCGCACATCCGAACTGTGGCCTACCAGCAAAAGGTAGCTCGGTACTATAACGCGCGAGTAAAGAAGAGGAACTTCCGCGTCGGCGACCTGGTCCTCCGTAAGGTCATGGTACCCAAACCCGGCGTAGGAAAACTCGGATCAAATTGGGAAGGACCCTACCGAGTAAAGAAAGCACTCGGGGGGGCATACGAGCTCGAAACCCTAGAGGGAAARCAAGTACCCCGAGCATGGAACATTGTCAACCTAAGGTGATACTACCTATAGACCACCAAGAAAACTGGATAAAATCACCACCAAAGCCTACGGGCTAGAATGCCAAGCTAACGAAGGAATCTCAGCACAAGCAAGCAAAGAAAACAGACCGCGCGAGTGCGGTAACCCGGGCAGAAAACAGTTCGGCAAATATGTTTAGTTCGGCAAATACGTTTAGTTCGGAAAATACGCTCAGTTCGGGAGAAAGAATAACCAACACTTAAACAAGTGATTCCATTCCAAAGGTAGGGTAGTACAAAAAAAAAATTACAAGCCAGGAGCTATTTCTTCATCATCAGAAGGCACTTTGACAAAACCCGAAGGCCCCGCCTCGCACTCGGAGTCTGGCTCGGCGTCAGCAGCATTAGCCATCTCCTGAGTTATGCGCRAAGTGGATATGGCGCTAACATCGAGCTCGGGATACGTATTCCGGATCATCCACCGGCTTAGCTTAAAACCCCTCCTATATGAATCCACCATCAGATCATCAAAACCCGGCGAAGTGATGTACTCATCGACGGCCTTCTTCTTGGCATCTTCGATGCCTTGAGAAAAGATCTACGTCCTCTCCCTGATGTCCTCCTGAAGATACTCGACTTGATGCTGCAGATCCAGCCTCAAGTCCGCCATRTGCTTCACCACCACTCCCATGGCCTCGGCATCTCTCTGAGACCTCGCCTGCCTGATCCGAGAAAAGCGAGCAGTCTCCTCAGCAGCACGAGCAGCCTCCTCGGCAGCTCGCAC